GAAAATAAAAATATTTTTAAATTATTGTAATATTGTAATAAAACAATAATATCAACTAATAAATACTAAAATATCGTACACCAAATATATATCGAATATACGAAAAATCAATATCAGCCTTTACTAATTATATACTAATATAAAATGTGAGAGAATGTCATATAATTTAATTATATACCTATTATCATAAAAAATTTAGAAAGATGCAATGACAAAACGATGTGAATAAGCTAATATGAAGAAACGGAGGTTTACGAAAATATTATTTAAAGTTAAAATTTAGTTCAATTTTTCCAGTGTATGGTAATAAAACAGTGATTATTCATCATTTGGAACGTATGAGATAGCTCTACCGACACTACAGCATACAAACTAAACCCCCTAAAAATGATTAGTTCAGTGTTTTCAAACGTAGTATGGACGTGAAAGCTTCTTCATCACTATATCTGAGAAACGAAGACCTTATACCTATGTGTTTCCTAACATGGGACATGTGAAGAAAAGTGGTTTTACTGTTGTTATAGATATTATTAGTTCAATGTGTCTTAATGTGGGACATATAACTTATGTGGGTAATATTTGACCGACATGAGGAAGAAAATTACTTTGTAAGTCTATTATATAACGTATTATGAAATAAGGATTATATATAGTTTAGTTTCTCCAGCATAAGCCATAAAAAATATTTAAGATATTTGGAGATAAGCTCAGAAAGAAACAGTACAAAGAAAGGCTAAAGAAAAAAATGACGAAACTTTAGAAAGACATGTATAAGATTGTGACTGTTGAAGAATCTTGCGTTTGAGCCTGGAGATAAATAAGAGTCGATTGTTTGAGTATTTAATGATGACTCAAATCTCATAAAACTTGCCTACTTTCGAAGTATTTTGTACTTTGATCTACTCAATCATTTGGAAAGATGGTTGTCTTATTTTACGGAAAAATTGATAATATGGAGAGAATGCCAAATTGTGAATCTAAACCTTCCTTGAATCCACTTGAACACACACAAAAAATTTCATCAAAATCGGTTCAGCCGTTTAGGAGGAGTTCACTGTCAACATACGTACAGAAGAATTATATATATAAGATATAGATTTAACGAAAATAAAAATATTTTTAAATTATTGTAATATTGTAATAAAACAATAATATCAACTAATAAATACTAAAATATCGTACACCAAATATATATCGAATATACGAAAAATCAATATCAGCCTTTACTAATTATATACTAATATAAAATGTGAGAGAATGTCATATAATTTAATTATATACCTTTAACATAAAAAATTTGAAAGATGCATGACAAAACGATGTGAATAGCTAATATGAAGAAACGAGGTTTACGAAAATATTATTTAAGTTAAAAATTTAGTTCAATTTTCAGTGTATGGGTAAATAAACAGTGATTATCTCATCATTTGGAACGTATGAGATAGCTCTACCGACACTACAGCATACAACTAAACCCCCTAAAAATGATTAGTTCAGTGTTTTCAAACGTAGTATGGACGTAGACGTGAAAGCTTCTTCATCACTATATCTGAGAAACGAAGACCTTATATCATATATACCTATGTGTTTCCTAACATGGGACATGTGAAGAAAAGGGGTTTTACCGTTGTTATAGATATTATTAGTTCAATGTGTCTTAATGTGGGACATATACTTATGTGGGTAATATTTGACCGACATGAGGAAGAAAATTACTTTGTAAGTCTATTATATAACGTATTATGAAATAAGGATTACATATAGTTTAGTTTCTCCAGCATAAGCCATAAAAAATATTTAAGATATTTGGAGATAAGCTCAGAAAGAACAGTACAAAGAAAGGCTAAAGAAAAAAATGACAAAACTTTAGAAAAACATGTATAAGATTGTGACTGTTGAAGAATCTTGCGTTCGAGCCTGGAGATAAATAAGAGTCAATTGTTTGAGTATTTAATGATGACTCAAATCTCATAAAACTTGCCTACTTTCGAAGTATTTTGTACTTTGATCTACTCAATCATTTGGAAAGATGGTTGTCTTATTTTACGGAAAAATTGGTAATATGGAGAGAATGCCATTAGAGCATTATGAAAATCAACTGCCAAAAATAAATAATTCTTTGCACGAGTAATGTAAACTTTAAGACATCACT